ATGGACTTAGAGGAGAGAGTGTGCGTGCAGACAGTGCTAAGCATATTTCTTTGATGGTCCGAGGCTCTCGTGATTCATGATAATAATAATAATACAAATAATAATAAAATTGTAAGAAATGAACCACAACTCCAAATATCAGACTTGACCTTACGGCTTTATTATGCCCTGGGGGACAGGTGATTAAGAGTGCGAAGGAGGTTGACTGACATTGAAAGTTGATAAGGAAGTCCTCACATGGGTTTCAGAAAAACACCGACCGTGATTTTGGTAGATAGATGATGCAAATGCAAGATAATACTTGCCACTTTGGTGTTACGCTGCTGCTCTTGTTTACCATATAATTTGTTTTCACCTTATCACACCTTTAGATTGTGATGATACTACACAACAACTTGGAATTATTTAATCAGCTTGTCAGGTATTTGTATATACTGTACGATAATTCCACAATATATAATTTGCCATTTTTGTCTACTCTGCAGTAATCTCTCACAAAATTGCATTTGCTTCCTCAATATATGTAATATAATTAGTTTTGAAGCATATGGTTTGTGCCATATCTTTGCCAAGCAAACTCTATGGTGTCCTGGTGGGCCCTCCCACCCTCTCCCGGTTCCCATTTTTCCATTTTTAACTTTGTCGAGCTTTGGTTTATTGCTGTGTCTTCTTTATGTTCTACTCATAGTTGATATAACATCTTGAATCACATTAAACAAACTCAGAAGCTGAAAATGCTGATATGAACNTTCTCTCTCTCTCTCTCTCTCTTTCTGTCTTTCCTTTTCTTTTTTAATGGTTGTAGATGTATTGATGGGGCTTGATTTGTTAAGAACAATGTTGTCTTGTGTATTACGGCATTCATGGAGTGATGCAACGGCATAAAGACCACATATTCTTGGAGTGTTGCAAATTTGCAATTGCATAAAGGCATGCAGTTACATATACAATAGCCCTTAAAAAGATTCTGTTTCCTCCAAGGTTATAAGGACAAAATTGTATCTCTGCCTCTTTGGATATATCCTAAGATCATCTATCCCATGAACCTTTGAGATGTGTAGGCTTAGAGTCCACATACTCTCTGTGCCTAAACGACTGTTTTTCTGCTAAGTGGGGACCGAATTTCCCTTATCACCTTCATCCAGATTACATCGAATTATACACGTTTTAGTCTACAGTTGAAAATTTTATTGATTGGCTCAGGGACAGAGATAAATTTTATCTTGTACCAACTTTGTTTAGCTCAAGCGTAATCACCCAGATGTAGATGGACATGGGACATATTTGTGTCTTACATTTTGTTATGTTTTATTATGCGGTAGTTAGATTAGATACATTGGGTTGATGCAACATGTGGATAACATTCCATTAATGGAAATTTGTGACAAGTGCAGCGTAATTCTTTACCATATCTGTATTTTAATTTTAATTAATTATGTAATGAACAAGTAGAATGAAAAAAAATATGTTGTAGACTAATGGTAATATAACTTCAAGTAGAATGTCAGTGTATTTGGGGAAAGTTGTCCTTTGAGTATAAAATCTTTTACTATATTTTTTTTCCAAACAACAAATATATTACTAATTTGAATACTCAAAAGAGTACAACTGAGTATCAACTGACACGACAACTGACATTACTGACGCCAGAACGAAGTCTGGACCAATTCTCTTGTAAGCACACATAAGGAGATACAAGCTCTATCTAAAAGACGAACACACACAAAACAAAACTCTATAAAAAAGACTAAATTAGACATCTTTGGACTAAACAAAACAAAACAAAGAAAAACAACGAGAAAGAAAAAAAACAAAACTCCATTAAAAAGACTAAATTAGACATCTTTGGACTAAACAAAACAAAACAAAACAAAACAAAGAAAAACAACGAGAAAGAAAAAAAACAAAACTCCATTAAAAAGACTAAATTAGACATCTTTGGACTAAACAAAACAAAACAAAGAAAAACAACGAGAAAGAAAAAACGACGCACACTTAACAAACTAGAAAATTAAGACCTCCTCCGGCAAACCGAACCATTAGGGCAAACCGAACCACTAATCAAACTGAAAAAACTGAACAGACCCCACAACACCAACACAGAGACCCAACGAAGCAACAAACTTAGACTCAGACCCAAAAACTGCAGCCAAATTCGAACTGTGGCAAATAGTTAATTCTCGGTCCAAATCTCGACTCCGAAGAACTTCAACACCAGAGGAGGGAAGGACTCGCCACTGAACACTAGAAGGATCAGAATCTGTGGCCACGGAGAGAACATCGCCAGCTACCGACAACCGAGGTGCCGCTGCTAGAGTGTCGTATTTTCTGAAAAGTGAACATAAATTTACCATGTCAGGACCACCTATTGGGTTCTGGAAATCCATAGAATCTTTTATTAGGACCACTTCCAACGTCACTTTTGCGTTAAAAGTGAAAAATCTGTTCAAATCTAGCACTACCCAAAATTCAATATCTCACTCGCATATCAAAAAAGGAAAATAAATGCTACACAGAACAATAAATTTAATTTTGGCCTTACCTTCGCAATATTATGACATCTTCCGTGCAGTAAACATCAATTGTACGGATTTTTTTTATTTTTGGAGGGAGAGTTGAAGGTATTATTGACTGGAAATAGCCAGAGGAACAAATTAGATAAGGTTTTTCTTTTAAATGTGGGTCAGATTCTGATATCTTGTTCTTCCCAAATTAAGAAACTCTTCGAGTATCTTCCCTGGGCCTATTTAAATGGTCACTGTAACAGTTTTGGCAGTAGGGCAATATGTGTCATAATATAGGAGAATTATAGTTTTTATATTAGCATCACTATTCACTTGCCTTAGTTTACTTGCTGGAAATAGCAAACCATTCTGATCCATACTTGGCAGGCAAAAATCCAATTTTGGTCCACTAACTTGTTCATTGTTCACTTATAGTACACTATCTTTTCTCTCATAAAAAATGGTCCATTATGTTACATTTTTCATCAGTTTTAGTATGCTACTCCAGTTGGCGGGATTACAAGATGACGTGGACCAGGATTGTGGAGGGATGAGATATTGACGTGATAGGATAAAAATTTGATTTGGCATCTCGTAATCCCGGGCCACGGGATTAGTGCACTAAAATTGATGAAAAGTGTAACGTAATGGACCATTTTTTATGAGGGGAAGATAGTGTACCAAAAACGGACAATGAACAAATTAGCGGACCAAAATTGAATTTTTTCCATACTTGGCATGGCATTTAAAAGTAACTCCAACAATCTTTCCTTTCGTCAAAACTCTTACTCTATAAATCTTATTACTTTATTATATTTTAAACTTCCCTATTTACACTATTACTAATATCATCACATAGGCGCATGGACATACGAGACAAACAATATATAGCATAACAAAAACTAATCTTGCATGTATTATTATTGTTGAATAAATTTTCTGTAATTACAAAATTTAGTTTTGTTTTCCAACTTGATTAACATAACTGATATAATATATTCACTATTTCTTGACTTGGCTTGACCTAGTCTGTCGCTAGTTATCTAAAAACATTTTGTTAAAATTTCAATCATGGTATGCTCATAAAAAACCAACGTCAAACAATCAAAAGTGGCATTTTTGGCAACATGAAGGAGCAACAATGGAACTTTTGAAAATGTAGATAAGATCAATTCAAAGTTTTACCATGTCGAAAAGGCTTGTACGGCGCTTTTTCTTGTTGAGGGTCGCCAGCCGAAGAAAATATTTTTGGGCATGGCTAGCAACTTGCGTTGGGGTCCTTGTTGTAACGAAATTTCTTGAAATGCCCCTCCAATCTCCTTTCCCTAGCTGTTCAAGTCCGATTAAGAAATTTCGATGTTCTTCCTCTGTCCATGGAACTCCTACACCAATGTAGCACGACTGAGCTTTATGGTAAATTTTATTTAAATAAAGTACCACTGGGATTTCCCAAAATTATGAAAGATCCAATAGTTCATTCGGTATCAATCACCACACATTTAAGAAATGGATTTGTCCAAAAGTCTCAATCCTTTACTTTTACCGAATGAACGTTTTAGAGAAACAATTTATCCATAACTCCATTCCTAATTTAGCACCAAATAAGAATATATTTATTCAAATGGACTTTTGTATCTAAAGGTATATTCGATAAGTGTTTCCAAATATAAGTGGGGTTCTTGGTAGTAAGAGTAAATTCAATGGTTATTTGTTTTAAAATAAATGATTTCCCATGAATCAAGAATCACACCACCTATATATTACATAACCATGGTCTGGTTTATATATTTTAGTACAAATGCTCATCTTTATGTAATAATCGTGTCACTAGTACACGGACCGTGCAATGTATGGGCTTTGATATTGATACATTGCTTTATTTTATTTAATATTCATTTATTTTATTTATCAGGTATTAATGGATATGGGTATTCAATCAACGATTCAAATGATCTAAAACAACTAATTTGAAACTTTTTATTTTAGTTTGAGATGCGTAAGATGGATGAATTATTAATTCAAGGCTTGAAAGATAAATATACCAATTTTTAAGACCCGAATGGTTTTAAATCAGTTGAAATATTTTCTTTAGAGTATCGTATTTTCTTTTCTTTTCTTATTTAAAAGAAAATTGTTGAAAATATACAACTACAAAATTTTCTCTGATTAGTCGTTTTTTAGATAGTATTTTATGTAAGCAATTAATGCTTCCTAAGTTATTCCTATGTTATTTGGATAAATACATTAAGTGATGAATGACTCCGTCCGATGGCTCCATAGAATTTTTGTACATATATTCGTTATTAAAATAAAATATAAAATGAAACATGTCTAAAAATAGCAAAAATCACCAAGAGAAAGATATTACTTTATTTATCAAATACAAGTGTCTATCTTGGCACTAGTGCATTTCCCAATAAGAACAAAAAAATAATAAGAGGCTTTTAAGAAAACGGTTGAAGAAAGACTAGCTTGCCTTGTTAAGGAAAACTCTCCACAAATTTCAACATTCTATACATAGAAGCTAGTTCTAAAGAAATTGAAGGTGCCTATTAACTACAGAGAACAGTATTATGATTCAGGGAGAAATTCATACAACTCGTGTAATGTAGAGATGTGTATGTGTTTGTGTATGTAGATGAGCATATATATAATGAACTCAACTTGGATACCTTTGTTTCTGTCGGGAACTTGGGCCAAGGGAGCATCAGACGAGCAACAATAATCAGCGGCCATGGGGAATTGTGATGAAGACGAAGAAGATGAAACGGGTGTTGACATGGACAAGCAATCCAAGCTGATGATGCTTTTGTTAATGGGAGGCAGAGAAGAGGAATTTGAATTTGAATTTGAGGAGACATCAATTTGGACCCCAAAGAGTCTGAGTGTGAGTCGATGGCCACCACTATCGAGTGGGGCTATTGAGGCGCTGCAAGTTCTTGTGTTGTGGCCTATGTTGCCACAATGTGAGCACTTCCTTTCCATTTTCAGAAATACCATATTCAAATTAATTAATATGACTTCACAACACACACTGTATCTGTGTGGAGAGAGAGAGAGAGAGAGAGAGAGAGAGAGAGAGAGATATGCTGCCTGGTGGTATGATACGTGATAATGATATGATGTCAAGTGTAGGATAATTAAGTGAGTTGATGTAAATGTTTGCACACCAAGTCTTGGATGGACGTTGTTTTAAGCGGATATTTTTCCAACTTGAATATAGCAATAATAATACTAGCCTCTCACCCTAAAAAATATTGAAAGTAAAATATAACCAAAAAAAAAATAAAATAATAATTCATGGAATTATTAGGACGAGGTATTGATGAGCCAGAAAAGTCTCTTTTTCAAATTCTGATAACAAGATTATGTGTTTTATGAATATATATGCTACACAATACTTCGTGCCACAAATGATGTGTTTCCTCGCTATTAAGTTCAATGGATTTTGAAACGTAGGTGGTGGAGTATTGAGAGTATACAAGGTGTGTTTGAACATCGAAATTAAAAACGGAAGCAAACGTGTAAAAAAAAGTTTTCATGGAGCATCACACTACCCCTCAGAACTATTTTTATTAACAGACCGGTTTGCGCGCACAATGTAAATATTGAGCTTACAAGACAAGGTCTCCCTCCTAATCTAACCAACACTATACCTGACTCTATCAATATTTACTTACCGGGCCACTCCGTGGACTTCAAGCTAGCTATGGATCCCTCCTACCTACAAAGTGTTTGCTAATAAAGAAAGAAAAACAGTTCTTCAATTGATGTAAGAACACAACGCCGAATAACTGAAAAATAAATATAACACTAAAAGCTCACAAACAGTCAATGAAAGTCTAGAATGATAACTCGATAATTTCAGAAGTCTTTCACTAAGTCTTCGATCACCTATATATACAAACTTCTCAAAGGTAAGGAGCCTTCACATTCCCATGCATTTAGTTCTTCCCTGTGGATTTGATTTCCTTCCAGTGGATCGAATAAACTCGATAAATCAGCCAACTGGGCCGATCAAACCAATTGGTCGAGCAGAAGCACAGGTAGGCCAAACGGTGGTCGAATAGAAGTACAAGTAGGCCGAACGGTGGTCGAACGGAGTTACAGAGCAATGAGTCCTCAGGTCGATGAGGACGTCGCAGGTTCAAAGAAATACCGACAAGTCGAGCTAGAGCCCTCGGATGGTATAGTTGAAACTTGACCTGGAGGCATGACTGGTCGTAGGATCGACCAGATGAGCAGGACTCACGATGTCAATATATGTAGCACTCTACCTCGAAGAGATTTGGATCAGTCGCACGATTAGACCGTCAAATAAGGCAGACTAATAGATAAGAAGAAATATTATTAAGATAAGGACCACACGTGATAGGTTAACATGGCCTAACAGAATTGGACAATTTAAGCATGTAACACCCCGCCTAATATTACTAAAATCAGAGTAAATTTTTCGCGCTTTAATAATTTGAAAACACTGATTAATATTCGAAAACTCTTATTTAAATTTTCGAAAACACTTAATCTTTATCTTGCAGGATGCTACTTACTATCTTTATCTCTTTATCACTTTATCTCAAGACATTTATCATACTTACATGCAACCAAGTTAGATTCATTCTAGAATAAGGCACCATGAAAATACTGAAATTAAGCATGCAAAGTACAATGTCTCATAATCGGCATACAAGTCTCTGAAAAGCGGAAGCTAACATAGTTCGAAATCATAATCAAACATAATAGCTTTAAACATGTTCAAATATGTTATATGACATGTTTCTCAAAAATATCCTCGCTTATGACTACCACCACTGCCTGCTCACGCTTCACATGGGACTCCGTCACCTAAAAAAAATAGAGACTGAGGGCGTGAGCAAAACCACTATGCTCCGCAGAAACCGCCACTGAATATACATCACAAATAATAATCCATCATGAAATAAACATATACGCATCTAACTGTTCTTAATCTGATGCAAACTACTAGCGTCTGGACTTGTCCGAGAAATTATGTGCACACTCTGGGTGACATAGGCCGCCCCGGAACCTGGATGGTGACCTTGTGCCTCCCAACTCAGGCAATAAGTAGTCGCAAGGACCTACTTGTAGGTCGTTGTCATTGGGCAAAACCTTTTCTCTACATACATACCTCAGACATGGTAAATGATTATAAGCGACGAAATAACCAGTACGGGTCCCCACCTAATAGCTGAATGCAAATGCTGGAACTGAAATGATATGTAGCAGACGGAGGCTCGACTCTCCTTAAGCTACAAAAATATTTAAGTGACTATATCCTAAGTATTCAGCTCATTGAAAAACTGGATTATTTAATTACTGATCTTATTATGTTTGCTCGCTCGATTTTAAAATCATTTAAAACTCCTTATCTGGTTTAACTCTATCAGCTTGTCGACTTAATAAAATTTACGAGCTAAGTTAAACAATTTTCCTGTCATGAGGCTATCTAGGGTTCTCGAAAAATTTTCTATGTCTGGAACTAATATCTAATTTGATCTTGAACAGACTTGGTTCGGAAAAATTTTAAGTCTCGGCTCACGCTCGAATCGGACTTCTGAACTAGAAAAATCTCGAACCGTCTGGACTGCCCAGACCGGTTCGGCTGGACTGGATCGACAGCTCGCTCGGGTTCATAGGATGCCACGGCCACTGGCGTAGGGGCGCGCTGGACCGCGGCTGGTGGGGCACGCGCGTTGACAGGTTGGCGGGCGCACGGGCGAGGGGCAATGCGCAGGGGCATGCACTCGGCGACGGTTTTCTGGCAACCCAGGGTTAATGGATTTCTTATAAAGTCTAGAGTTCATAAAGGTACTTAGGGCTCGGGAGATTATGCTCGCATAGTAAAATTACTCGGTAATAGAAATGGGCCGATCTATGGTTTCCAGTTCTCCGGGAGATTAATTAATGAACGTTCGATATCTTAAATACAGAGAGATAAACCGAGAATAGTAGAGCCCAAGTAATTGAGTTTGGAAAAGGTAGTGCAATAATAAGTCTGGATTGATTTTTTTATTAGTAGTCTTAGGAATATGGTGGTCCATAACCCAAGTATTTCTTTTCCTATTGGGAGACATAATCCTAACCTTCTTAAGGTCCCTACTGTAGCCTATAAATACACCATGCAAGGATCTCATTACCTTGCTAGACATCATCAAATTCACGCTACACTCAAAGAGAGAGAGAACAAGGGAGAGAGGAGAGCCAGCCACCATCGTTCTGGAGACCATCGCCCACATGACGCCCAACCTCGGTGGAAGAATACAACGGAAAACTTCAAGATCGAGAAGGGAGCCCCGTCCGTCATGTCTCATAAACCTTATAAGTCGTCATAGAGTCGAAAAATCATAATTCATAAGATCTTGGTCCTAAACTTTAGATCTGCTGCGCATATGATTAACTTCTTATGATTCGATTAATGAACAATTTAATCGATGTTCTTCGCTGAACCCAACACATACTTCTCATCAATCTTAATTCGAGCTTCAAGTTCTATTTTGTTCTTGTTAAGCGATGTAACTATTGAGTTTGTATTCTTAGTTCACTTGGATTAATAAACTTCCAAACCATCAATTGTCCTCTTCTGAGAGACGATGAGGTCGGGGATTCCCGTTCTCGGTACATACACTTGAAAACTATTTCACAACCATGTCTAAACATGGTGAAGGAACATACAAAAGATTATGGAGTAAACAAGGCTTCTAGTTTTATTCGTATCGTTTCAGAGTTGGCATGAATTAAATGTACAACTTATGTCTGTTCTTTATTCCAATGAACATTGGTAATAAGTGGTTCTTAAACGAATAATTAGATTCTGATGATCGTCACAGATCCCAAAAGATATCAGTGGTGAGCAACGATGCAGTTCGGTGAAAAACCACAAAAAATGAAAAAGCGAACCTAGCAAAAAGAATTAACCAAATTACAAGCAACTTAGAATATACTTAACTTAGACTAAACAAATTTTTTTCACTAAAATAACCTCACCGAAATGCACGGTTCAACTCGATTTTCAATTTTATTTCGGTTTTCTATACATTTTATTCAATTCGGTGGGGGTTTGGTGCAAAATCGCACCGAACCAAACAAAACCGAAAATCGAACTTATGAAAATTCATAACCGCACCGCACCAAATTGCACTGTTCAG